GCTAGCGAAATTCTCTCAGGGTTTAAACTGCTAGTAAATCTAACTTTGAAGGTTAAAAATGCGATTTTCCCAAAAATAAACTATTGCCATTTTAACAAGTTTCTGTTTAGATTGAGGGTAAAAAAGCAAAGGCAATATGACTTTGTATGTGAGATTACACTCGAGTAGTAGTTGAAACAACAACAACAGTACAAGCTTCATTTTCTCAGAGGAGGTAAAACTGAGAGTAGAGATAATCCCTGATTTTATAGTAGTCTTCACACAACGGTCCTTCTATCAGAATTTGCTGCGGACCCGATGCTCCGCCCTGAAGAAACCCCGAAAAAACAAACTTGTATATAAGCGACATTGAGTGAGATATGCTTAATGCTTTGGTGATCAGGAAGATTTGTAAGAAATGCAGTCTTTTGCTTTGTATATTTACCTTTTGACCCGTTGGACCGACCTTTCGTAGAGTGACGTATTCACCACAACGTAAAGCTCCTCCACCTGCAAATTCTACCTGAACACCCTTGCTTGACAGAAACTGCTTGAAGTCTGCAATTTTCAGATCACCCACTAGTACTGATTTGTGCGGAGAAGCAGCACTTGACATTGGTAGTAGAGACCTCTTGTTGCTCTCTGTCTTCCCTACTTCAGAATCCACCCAAGCTACTTCTGAATCTTCCAGCTGATATTTTACATGAAAATATTTCATGATTCAAAGACATTGGATGAGAACCGAGAAAAAAACTGTGGTTAGTGTTTATAGCAGGTAAAAAAAAGGTACCTTCTTGAAGATCACATTGCTCATCAGCTTTTCAGAAAGTTGGACCTGGTGTGCAACAAAAGGAACCATACTTGTTAGGTTAATTCAATAAGAACTCAAAAAAACCCATGTGTGACGAGGATCTTCCAGTGTCGGGATTTCTACCTTATAAGCACATAAATCAGAAGTCACATCCACCGTTTCCTCTATTTGAGGAGCATACACGTGTGGACAGATGTTGTTCAAGCAGTGTTGCTTCAAATGCTCTGTAGCCTCAGCTATTGCGTGCACCAGAACCTTTACATGATACAGGATTACATCAGCGGAAGTTTATAGCTCAGTGAATACCACTATTTACATATAAGACCAGAGAAAAGGAATTGCAGCGTACAAGTTTTAGAGGAGAAACGTGTGCAATCATTGACTTGATTGAGCGGCCATCTGAACAACCTTCATAGTCCATTTTAACAAGTGAACAATTAACAGTGACCTGTAACAAAAGCATAAGATCAAGCTAAATCACTTAACAGGGAAACAAGACAGCAGTTAGGTATAGACAGAAGACTAAAAGACTATGTGACAATTAAGTAGAACATCAATCAATTGAAGATCTTTGGTAGCTTAACTAGTAGCTCTCCGCAGCTAATCAGATATTTGACAGGTACAACAGACTCATTGATAAATAGTCAAAAATAATAATAAGAGTATCGAGAAAATGGATATCAATGAGAAGATTAGCTGAGACCAAAATCTCTACTGATGTCTTGCTTTCTAGATGTATAGGGAACTCTTATGAGGTTGGAATTAAGAGACAACTTACAATGAGCTCATTGGATATGACTTTTGAGGGTCTTGTATCAAGCATGAGACTAGCAGTTGCCTCATCAAGCCTTCCATCCACATCACCTCCGGTCTGAAATGGGATTTTTATATCACATATTTGATAAGCAACACAAGAATCTACATGGGAAGCACCTAAAGCTGATTCTAAAAAGGTGGTTCAGAGATAACATTTTGGGGACAATGTCATACATTAACACAATCCACACCAACCATAGCATAGAAAAAACCTTACTAGTAACCAATCAATGTTAAAAGAAAACGAATATGCGATTGAAGAACCAATGCACTGAATTGAAGAACTGCACTCATGCCTAAGCAACTTTATGGAAAAAAAAAGATTTTCTATTTGTATCCCAAACCCTCGGTGCATATCATGGAGATTTCTTACATATATTTTCTTTTTAACAAACCAATATATTGTTGTTAAGGAAACAGTATGCAAATAACATCATGGAAATCAAGATAAGAAGTCTAGTAGGTCGCTAATAAAACAAGAGCTAAATAAAAACCAAATTAAGACCAGAATTACAAGGAACGTACATGCAGTGCTCCTCGGTCCATGTCTTCATCCTTGATCACGTAGTCATCTGGGTTAATGACCTCCCCAAAGTCGCTCCATTCAGATGTGTTATCATAGAATGGAAACATTGGAGCTATGCTGCTGGATGGGGGAACAAATCCATCTATCAATATGTCTTTATATGCAGGCCCGTGAGAACTAACAACTGCATGTGCGGTCAGAAATGTGAAAGGTCAGCTGCAGACCACTACGTAGTAGCAAGACCAGCTATCAACAAAGACAACAAGAAGTCTAATTGAAAAGCAAACATATTGTGGGACTGAACAACTAAAACACATTTTACTCAGAAATGTACATAAGACTTCTAAATCTAGCTTCTACCTCACTCCAAGATGACCACATAAATGCCTCCTAAGGCCAGCTAACCAATTCATTACAAGGAGTACCATATGCATAGCCAATTCATTACACGAAAAATAAGATGTTATGGGGAACAGACAGAATAATCAAAGGCACTGAAATATTTCACAATTTAAGCCAAAAAATTACCATCATGAGTAGTTTTGGTATCTATAACCATAAGATCACTTGTGTTATCATCAGATCCATGTGAAGCTTTTGTTTCCTCCTCTTTGACGAGGCTAAGTCGCAAAGCTTCTTCCCTTTTCAGTCTGTTTTGCTCCTCTTCATATGCAATTAACTCTTCCCCAGCCAAAGGAACCCTCTTCGACATGGTAACTTTAACAAATTTGGGAGGTGGGGCTGACTGAAGCATGCGAGCTAAAGTGCCAAACTGCAAGCAGAAACACATGACAGCAAAAAATCAAATAATTAGCAACTTAGTTCTGTGCTTGATTACCATTTAACTAGCTGACCAGCACTAGGAAGAAACTACCATCAGGTCGTTACAGCAACGCAGTAAACATACCTGGCCTGTTTCAGTAAAAAGGACTAAATTTCTGGGATCATTTGCCCAGTCCACGAATATTTCACGAGCGAAGCCGGATTCAAGACTAGCCATGGACGCAAGAACAACCTATTTAAGGAGATTCAGTAACTACGATATACCAATAAGAAAATATATTTCTATTATCACCTGAGAAGAATGGACATAAAAGCTCAAATTCACCAAGTTCTATGTACGACCAAACATGAATGAGTTACTTATAAACCAACCTTTGGACCAGGTGGAGCATTATCCAGATCATTCTTGTTTATCGAGAGAGTGACATGCCTGCACGTGTATAAATTACAAATAATGTCTTCCATTATTGTGTGCAAACGACGGCACAGATAAGACATTACTGAAAGAAAATTTACCTCAATCGAAAGGCATTATCACGTGAAGTCTCAAAGGACTTTGAAATGGAATCACTCATCCACTCAAGGAAACTCTTAACATATTCAATTGTGCTAGATGACACGTATGTGAGAAAGTAAATGGGAAAGCTAAAAGCTCTCTGAGACCAATGCTGCAGGTTTGATCAATATTCAGTCTCTACATAAATAGCTGAACGATTAACTGAAAACATAATACATTCAAATCGACTCTCCTACCTGTTCAAGTATCAAGAGAAGTTCCAGGACTCGGCCCGCAGGGTCTACTGGCAATAAAACGTTACCCCCAACTTCAAGATGTTTTGAAATGGTATCTGAATTATAAATGTGGACAGTTAGAAGCGAGTTTTTTTTTTAATACCATAGAAGAGATATCACACATATTGAGCTACAAGCCAACCTAGAAATTCTTTGTCCCTTTGCTGCCTTGCGGTTTGATTGGTATAAAGAGCATGGTATGCATCAGTTATCAGAACAGCAGGTCGAACAAAAGACTGTAAAACAGTTCCATTTAAATGCCTGAATTAAGATATACAATTCAGTTTCACAATTCTGCTTCTTTATTTTTGTTAATGGACAAAAATCTAACTCCAATTCAGATGAAAGCTGAACATGTGTACCTTTCTTTCCGATGATTGTAGTCAACAGCATATATAACCTCTTCCCCATCCTTTGTTATCTTCCAGATGCTACCTCCCAGCATATGTCCAGCAGCATGAGGAGCAATAACAATACCCTCTCCCTTTCCTAATAGGACAAAGATAAAACTTTTGAAGCCATAGCAAGAGCTAACTGAGGTCATCATCAACAACCAAATACTCAATATGCCTCGGTGAACTTATTCCCGATATGTGGAATACATAGACAATGCAGATGAACAAGTATCAGTTTTTTTTTTTCCTAGTTTGCTATGAAAAACGTTAAAATCACATACCAGAAAGATGGTAATTTTGTGAGTAAGTCAATCTGATCACATTCTGGAAAGCAGAATCAATGTCATCCAGCGTAAACAGATCAAAGTCCGTGACTTGCTGCAAACACTAAGATCATCGTATAAGCAAAAACCGTGCAAACAACAGGAAAAAGACATAATGCAGAAGAAAAATTTGCAATATCCTGCATCATTAAAACTTCACCTTCCTCGATAGATACTGATCATACATTGTGAGAAGACCTAATCTATTAACAGGCTCAGTGGCATAAACCGGAGCAGAGAGTCCAAAGTGCTTCATGGCATAAGGAAGAGCACCAAGGTGAAGCGTATCTGAATGAGAAAGCAAAACTGCATCGATGGTAGAAGCAACCCTGAAACCAGAAGAATCGAAACCTGAATCTATATTTTCGAAATTGGATTTTCGATTCCCAGAACAGAGAGTAGAAGGAGAGAAACCTGGAGAGAGGTTGGAGAAGAGATGGGTCAAAGAGATCGTTCCAGCCACAGTCGACGAGGAAGTTGAAGCCATCAATGGAGACCAAGTAAGAGAGAGGATTCTCGTTGTAAACTCCGCACAAGGGAGTAACCTGCACCGAAGTACCCATTCTAATCTTCTCTATTCGACGTTTTGCTTCGTCGCCGATATAAACCCTAATTTCTCCGATTAATTGAACCACCGTGAACAGAGAGGGTTTTAAATCTGAAGTACCCGTTTCTAAACTTTTTTTTTTTAATTAACATGTCACGAAAATATATGTGGCTATTTCATAATTTTCTTATAATTCTAAAATACTACCATAGAGAGTTTTTCTCAAATTTAGCTTTTTTTTTTTAATTGAATGCCTAGACAACAAATACAAAACCGAAATACATATATATAAAAAATTTCTATAAACAGAAAGAATTTCGAATTTTTTGAACATAATCTCATCGGTACTCAAAGTCAAAGTCCGCCTTTAGATATTCTAATATAAATAAATTACTAATAACTTTCTCTACCAAAGGGGGTTTGACCCCGGAATACAAAATAAATAACTCTTTTGTGTTTTATGTTACCATTAGATCACCACATTTTGATAAAATATTATATTTGTTTATCATAAATTTATATTTTAACAACAAAATAAAAATCCAAATTGAATTAACAAAATTTACAGAAGAAAAAAAACCCTACAATCCAACAACGTTGAACTATCTT